GCTCAGGCATAGCTTTCCTTCATCAGCTCTCCACACAGAGTGAAATCAGGTAAAAATTTCCATCCTGACAAAAATCTGCAGACACCAAAAATAGAATAGAAGAGAATGAATTAGACCCAAACCATAAAATGTTATCATTTACTGTTAAGACTGATTACTTTAGTAATGCTTTTAGAATGGGCTAAATACAACTGGGACTGCAAGAAATCTAATTTTTTCTGTTATGTGTCATCATACCAAAACCACATTAACATACAATTAGTGGGTTTCTCCTCTTTTATTCACCCTTCTTCCTCCAGCTTCAGATCCCAATTCAGAGAGACTGACTTGGGAGTGCACAGAGCACAATCTTTACTATTAGCAGAAGGCTAAGTAGTGCAAAGAAAAGCACCCATGGCTCTTCATTACTGCATTCTCTGTAATAAATTTCAGGATCAGGTTTCAAAACAGTTTACTGAAAGACAGCATCATCTTCTTCATCTTACAGATGGGAACCGGAGAAGGGGACTATGACTTCCGTATAACCACCACAATGATTAAAAAAGGGAACAACAGGGAGATTTTTCTGATATGTAAGTGAGCAGCACATAGCTTTTTGGTTCCTCTTCTCTCTCCTAAGAAGAGAGACACCTAAGAAGATTTTACCATCTTAGATGAACAATGAAATGACTGACAGCAAACATGAAAACTCCTGATTTCTATTAAAGGTCATTAGTTGTTTGCACATGTTGAAATCTTCCCCTGAATTGTAGCCTTGGGGGATTTTCTGCTGTTATTTCCCACCTGGGCTCAGTTAGCATGAAACTCAGAGAGAAAGGCAGTAAGGCACAACATTATTGTTACAGGATCTCATCCCAGACTATGTGATGAGTCTGTGAGGCTCTCACGGTGCTGGAATGCCAGTGAGGGGTGGGCAGGCGTGTGGAGCTGTCCTCCATCAGCAGTAACACCTGCCTGCTCGAGAATGGCAGCGAGGAGAGAATCTGGTGCTCCCTCCCTGACTCCAGCACCGTGTCCAGGCTGGAAAGGGACCAAGGCTCTGCAGCCCAGCAGGGTAACTGAGCAGGCAGGTGGCTGTCAGAGGATGGCATCACAGTGTGCCAGGCAAAAGCTGCTCTGCTTTGCAAGCCCAGACACAGGAGTGATGCCAGATGACTGCAATAATACCTCAGCCTGCTTCCATACACCCAACTCCTATTTTATCAGATGAAAAGAGCATGCATTCAGGGTACCAATTTTAAAAAAATTCTCCCCCTACAAAGTGACCAGGAGAGATTTCTATCTGTTGCTGATTGGGCTGATAAAAGCAGGATTTTTTTTTTCCTTTCAGCAGTTTAGAATTAAGCCTGCCCTAGAACAAGTGGGGTCATTTTAGTCTGTGACCACATACATAAATTGTATCTGCAGAACAAAGGAATCTCAGGTCAATTAAAAAGATCCTGTGGCTATAATATTCTTCTGGGAAGATGCCATCTACATATGCTTATTACAGCCGCATAAACCCCACCCCCTCATTTGCCTCAAGCAAAGTAATTGTCTTTAAAAGCAAGCAAAATAATTATTTTTCCAACATACTTGTCATCATTAATTATGGCCAGAATAGCCAAGTAGGAGTTCATGCCCAGGCTTTTAAATGCTTGTAGCTAGTTAGCATGGCTGCCTATAACTTTTCAGCTTTTTCTGCAGTGTTAACATTAACATCCTGTGGCTTCATTAAATCAAGGCACCCACTGATGAGCTAAGTATGATTCATCTGAGAACACTGAGACCCTTCATGTTTATCTGTCCCTTAGCAAGGATGGGGTTTAATTTATGCCAATGTATAAGTATATTCGGGCACTGCTGGCTGTATTCCTAATGTCACATTCAGGCAAACACGTTCCAAAGAAGAATAGATTTTTTTAAAACAGAACGACTAGAAATTGCAGGGATTAAATGGGAGAAGTCCACTGAGTTGAAGGCATTTCATAGGCCACTTCTGCAAAGCTATGTGGCATTAATCTACAAACAGGGAATACTAGCTTCTGAAAAACCAGAATGAAAACTTTGGCCTGGCTCCTGTACTTCTTCCTGAGCCAAGTCTCCCACTGAAGTTGATGGGACTTTCCCTGCATAAAGGCTACAGAGTTTGCCCTACTTTTCTCCTTCTTCTTTTTTTTTTTTCCCTAGTTTAACAGGACGGGCAATGGTAGGGAAAGACATTTGTTTCCCTGCTACATGAAGGGAAGAGGGATGTGTGTGATGTGATGAAAACCCACCTGGTTCAGAAGATTACAGTGTATTGCAAAGTCCACAGATAGCTTCCAGAAGGCATTTTTATTTTAACAGATTTTGAATGACATGTTTTTAAAGCAACAGTGACTTTTGTTGGTCAACCAGCCTGAACACATTCAGGCTTCTGAATCATTGCCACTCCAGGCATTCATAAATATCAGGTCAGCTCAGCAAAATCAGGAGATGGGCTTCCAACCAATGGGAATTTTTCATTAATATCCATCTTCTGATTTCTGAGCCTTTGCAGATCCTATTTTGTATCTTTATTTTAAAATTGTAAGCATTAACAGACTTGTTCTTTACTGATGAAAGCTGCAAGTTTTACATAATCATAGTATTTAGAATTAAGGTTTTCAAGGGAAAACGCATGCACAATGAGACAGCACATGACTTCAAGCCTATGTACTCTCAAGAGCAAATCCCAGAGCCTTGTCACATTTTTCTTAATCAATTTTGGAAATGAAGTAAATTAAATTATTCAGGTGCTCAGAACAGGATGAGGACAGAAGCATCTACGGCACACAAAGCAGAACAAGACAAAATGGTAAGTCTGTAGAGCTTAGTTAAGAGACACTGATTGGTAACACAGTGTTACTGCTTCAACTGGGCACAAAGCATAGCTTTTAGTGACCACACTCATTTACAAAATAAGTAAACCACAACAGAATAAATCACAAAACCTGTAAATGTTGTGAGAGTGGGGAAGGAGCCTTTGCTTACAGCCTCAGCACTGGAAATAGATGCAATTCTGTTCCTAGTCCTACTAGCAAGAAGTTTAGCTCAGAGCCATATATTCTTCACCCTGATCAGAATAATGGCAACTGAGACAAAGCAGAGCTGCTGGTCAGATGCCCCAGACAAGTACCACAGTCTCTTGCTGGATTCTCCAGCACAGCCACTCCGAGAACCACAACTCTGCCCCACATGTGCTACTGAGATGAGGAAAGGCCCCGGGCACCAGTTAAGGGAAAAGGATTTTTCTTCTCTTCAGAGTAAGCTCCGGTTTTCATCCTCATTACACAATTGCCACTCCACAGTCCCTCAAGCATAGATAATGTACCACAGCAATGCCAGTCACCATGCAAACCTCCCCAGGCTTTTACAGGGAAAAGGAAAGAGGACTAAAGTAGTAAAATGCAAATCAGTCACATACTGAATTTCAAAGCTGCCTTTAATTACAATTTCTTCCTGTTTCCCTGGATGTTTGGAGCACTGCTCTAAGCAAGCCAAAGTGATAAACAGAGTCCTGATCATCTTATTAAACTCATTCAAGCATATAACATCTGCCTTGGCAAGTCACTGGCTTTGAACAGAATCTGAATTCTATGCTACATTCAGGCAGAAGAATCAAAGTACTATACTTCAGTATTTCTATTTTCACATCCCTCCATTGGCAGAGACTGAGACAGAATTCTTTCATGCATAAACGTGAGGAAACAGAGACAGCACAGGTTCCTGTAAGACTCCTAAACAAGAATGCATCTTCTTTAAGGGGTACACCACTGCTTTTCTGGGACCTGCACAGGCCAGGATTCCTTCTTTTTGGATGATGCCTCCTCAGGTCAGCAACTTGACACTGAGCTTTCTATTTTCCCTTTGCCTTGGCCAGAGACCACAGCAGGCAAATACCTTCTCTTCAGGACTTACAATTACAACAGTTATTATCCCAGCTAAAAACCAGGCTTATTCAATGCAGGAAAAGCTGCCTGTACTTCAAGGTGCAGCAGGAGAAATAAATAAAGCATGACACTTGGCCAAATTCTCAGTCAGCAATAGTGATGTCAGCATAGCCCAATTTATCCTCGTCTGACAGATCTTACCCCACTTGTTTCCAGCAAAACCACAGCTGAGAGCTTTTGGCCTGTTCACTGAGCTCCAGGGCTAGATTTATACTAGGAGCTTTTCCAGTGGGGGCAGAGGGGTAGAAGGCTGAAGCATCATTCCAGTACAGCATCAGCTTAGACTAATGGAGCTGCAGAGCTGCTACCATAACGCATCCTGTAGTCCACACTGACAACACCATCATGTACAGACAGGTAATGGATATTTAACTGCACTGGCAATGTCTGCTAAGGCAGATGTGTTCATCAGAGAGGATATCTGTTTTCACCCTTGACCAGTAAAGATACATTCAGCTTCAGACTGGTACACCTAGAGTAAGTTAAGCACCTTTATTCACAGAAGCATCTTCACAACAGAACAGAGACAGAAGAAATGAAAGTGTATTTCAAGGAGATCAGAACAGTTTTTTAATTCAGTACAAATGAGTTTGGCCTAAATTAAACCTCTCAAGATATTACATTTTGGAGAAAGTTTTTCAATGTCTTTACTGAAAAATATGTTTCTTATCTAAAAGCTGATCAACAACAGAAGAAAAACTCAGGCAAAAGCAATCAATGCAAAAATTAACTAAAAACATTCGAAAGAGAGTTTGCTGTCTTGGGATAACACAAAATGAGTTTTTTTTGCATTGCTGAAAAGTAATTTCAGTGTCTGCCATCTGATTTTCCGCAGGAAGCTTTAACTGATGTATTTCTTTAGATTTCTTACCCTGAGATCATCACCTTTACAGGAAAAAAATGCAGCCAAGTAATAAAAAAAAAAAAAAAAAAAAAAAAAAAAATCTGAGAAAAATAGAACCCCACAACAAAACCCAACTCCCCCTCCCCCCCCCCAAAAAAAACCCAACAAACAAACAACCAAAACCACCTCCCCCCAGACTAAACAACACTTTTACTTTTCTCCAGTGGTATCTAGATTATGCCCTAAAAGCTTCTCTGTTCACAAAGGCCCTGCAGGTGAGAGTGTCACAGGGGCTCAGACAACTCCTTTTCCAGTGCAGTAGCACCAAGGGCAAGAGACATTGGCACACTGCTTTGATCCATCAACACCACCAGCTAAGCACTTCACACCACCAGCCTCACTGATAAGGACTGTCAGCATCTTCATCACTCTCCTACTGCACACAGGTGTCACTTCTCAGAATCTGCATTACTTTGCTTTACTCATTTGTCCTTATGGAGAGCAGCAGTCTCTCCACCTTTCATACTGAATGTACAGATGTGAGGCTTGATGTACTGTGCAAATTCATTACAATTCTGCTTTAAATTGCACTCTGGCTCCTCCCCTCCAAGTTTCTTTCTTCCACTGCACAGCAGAAAATATCCTAACACACTTGAAGCCAGTGCCAGAAAATAAGTATGTTATGGAAAGATGAATCCTGAAAACCACCACAGATGACAGAGAATGGTTAATTATGAAGGAATTTGTATGTGATAAAAGCAGGAAAAAATGCATTGTTTTGTCTGCAAAATAAGAGATGTCACATCATCAATCCTCTTCCAACATATTACATGGCTCTGTGAACTTACGGTGGTGTTACAGTTACCTGCTGTATGCCCAGCTGAACATCTTCTTAGCCTCACAAACAGGATTCTTTCCCTGCTAATCCTGTCTGAATTAAGTGATTTTACTAAAACTGGAACAAGCCTAATATCTGTGAAAATCAAACTTCTGTGAAAGTTTTATTTTTCAACAAAATTATTAGGTGATCTAGCCATGAAAAAGCAAGGTTAAAATGTTACTGGCTGTTCTGTTACTGTACAGCCTACATACAAGCTAGTGTAAACAGTTTTTCAAGGTGATCACAATTACTTATGTGATTCAGAACTAGTTCCACCCCTTTTCCCTGCACATATACCATGCAGGGTTTTCTTATAAGCTAGTATTGAGTGTGCTGAGTTGCTATTCAACCAGGCAGGCAGTTCTGTAGTTGTCACCAGTAGATATAAACCTTACTGTCCTATACTGACACACATTCCTAAATGCTGTCTCATGCTCCCCTAGGATTTTCTGCAAAGATACCCATTTATGCTTTAAGACCATATCTTCTGAAATGGGATCAGAAAACTGAAATTCAGCATTAGTGTCTACAATACTATCCAGAAATGAGCCAGAGAACATGATGCAAACCTCAAACCATGGAGAATATACACAAGGAACAATCAAGTTGACTCTCATCCTGAACAGGCAATCATTTCTGATGGGATCATCTCCCCTACAGCACTCCATGGCTTCAAGACAAGAAAAAGAGTAGAAAAAAAAGGTAATGCAACACTTATTAAAAGGGATGTGAAAACATCACAGGGCCATGCTACTAAGACAGAAAAAAAATTCTAAAGGTCTGAAAGCCAACAACCTGCAGCACCAAAGGCCAAAGTGGTAGGGAGAAAGGGCTGGCTGGCCCCTTAATGAGCCTGCTAGGACTTCAGTTCCTGCAAGATCTTCCCCACAAAAGGCAGCTGGGGTTACTTTTTGGGCTTAAAGTGGAAAACAACAGGACAGAACAATAATGATACAACACAGAATCCATCCTACCCCCAACTCCTTGCTTTCCTCCTGCCTTCAGAGAACCCTTGCAAGAAGCCACAGCAACAGTTCCTTGTCTCTCTCTCCCCTCCAGCTGGATTGGTGTCAATAGCAGTGAGGCACACACGCTTCCTAATCAAGATATTTAAAGCTGTTCATCACAACTTATACATACCACTTGCCTGTTTATGATAAAAATTAATCTCAAAGGCTCAATTGCTACGACATTAACAAATCAACATGGCGCAACAAACAAAACTGGTTCTTCTAGTAATAGCAAGATTTTCTTTTGAGTCACAGTTAAAGAGACTGACTCACTGTCTTATTGCTGGTTTAAGATTAAATCTACTCTGATCTCATATTTTAGCAGTCTTACTCCACCTATACACCTCACTGCTTGGGAATAGATTCTGCTCTCTCAATAGTCTTGTAATGTAAACATGAAGTAAATAAAATAATTGAATACTGATGTCAATAACTTCATTGAATGAGGGTTTTTTAACTTTTCCATCCACCAAAAAAATTCAATAATGGTGTTTACCCCCAGCCTTATGTGGCTGCTATTATGTCTAATTTCAGTCAAATACCCTTACAAGTCAATTCTTTTCATCCTTCTCAAATGTTTATATAAAAAATAAAGGTGTGTATTTTTAACTCTATATAGAAATATATTTTGGTTTTAAGAGCTGCACTGAATGCTGTACTACACTGAGCCATGAAGGAGTGGTCCTTCTAAAGATGATAACTAATACGTCTATGGGTAAGTGGTGCTACATGCTACCTCCTCTCTGGTGGATGATGGCCCACAAGCCAACATTTTCACAAAAGCTAATGGGGCAGTTAACATTTCTGCCCAAATTGCACTAAAACTGAATTTGTTGACAAATTACAAATAGCAGGGAGTTTCTGGATCTTAGAAACTATTTATAATATAGGTGGATGAATGGTAATATTTGTTGAGAAGTAAATACATTCTTTTATTCTAATGTCTCTTTAGTGCTCAGATACTTTTCAGATGAGCTGACAAACCACCTTGCCCACTCTGTGATTCTGTGAAGCATTTCCCATACAAAGACATGTGAAAAATAACATCTTAAAAAAAAGTTTTGTCTCCCACAGTTTTTTTAACACAAACAAATATGCAGCAATCTATAATATTATCTCTTAATCTACCTCTGATTATAAAGTTCTTGTTGATGACAAGCTAAACCTAGAAAGTATTTGGAGGCATGGGGGAAATCCTAGCAATGAGATTTCACATATCCTGGATATCTCCTTTTCCCAAATCCCACACCCAAAGATTAGCTGCACTGAAAAGAGCACCAGTTACATGGGCTGAGAATTTCAAACTGGTACCCAAGGAAGAGCAGCCTGAGCCATCACAAACCACAATTGTTGCAAGCAAGTTTCTAAAAGCTCCCTTAAGATTGTGGCAGGAGGGTTAGTATTATAACCTGGCAGGTAAACATCTTTCAGAGGCTGCAACCTGACTTCTCTATTCAACCCAGCTTCCTCACTTCTATCTCAGCTGTCTGAACTTCGTAAAGAATTAAAAGTGGAGTGGAAATAGCTGAGAATGAAAAATTAACTGAGTGATCTCTATTAATAACAGCTTAGGGGAATCAATGAGACAGACTGGGAGTGTGATACTCCCAGGAGAGTGAGAAAGGACAGGCTGGACCTCAGCATACCAATATGCGCTGAGAAAGAAGCTTGGAATTAAGTACACTTTAAAAATAAATCCCAACCATTTCTGAGTGTTTCTCATGGGTGCAGTTTTAATGCTGAATCTCTGCTCACAATGTTTCTGGCTTTCAGCCAAATATTTGAAAGTCAATGTGATCTTTTTTCCCCTCCTCCCTAGCCATCCATAATTTTAAAGCATTCCCACAGCTGTGAAAGAAATGATAGCTGGGAGGGAACAGTGCTTGGGTACCCAGAGGCTGCCCTCTCACATTTTTTCACAGCTGGAATTCTTCATGGTCTTTGGCACAAACCCTTGCTACTGCCTTGGCTGCTAGGCTGTCCTTTGTATGGGTGCAGCTATCTGAACAGTTTCAGAATTATTTTTAATTGGAGAAATCCTGGATTTTCCCATAAGCTCACATAAAAATAGGCAGCTGTTACCATATGAAAAAAAAAAAAGAAAAAGAAGAAAAAAAGTAGCAAGCCTCTCCGGAGTAGATGTTAATAATTCAAACAGATTCATATTACAGACTACAGCTACAAAGCACAGGCTGCATCTTAAGCATCTCAAAGATGTGCCACCATTTCCCTTATTCACATGCCCCTTCCCTTGCAAAACTAACTCCACTGTGAAGTTCAATTTGCAGCACTAGAGTTGCTAAGCATGAGTGAGCTCCTGGAGAGTGGGCAGCAGGCAGGAGTCACAGGAGTCACACTGCCCACTTCTTCAGCACAGGAGTTACCTCAGCCTCCCAGTTTGCTGCCATTACTGTCTGTTACTATTTAAGAGTAAACAGGAAGAGCACAGGAAATGGAAACAGGGTCAGGCCACTTGGGATGGATGTGGAGAGGTTGTCAGATTAAGTAGAAATGAAACAGGAAAGGCCAAGACCCAATTCAGTCTGTCCAAGGATATTACAGACAACAAGAAAGGCTTATCCAGTGCATCAACAACAAAAGGAAAATAAAGGATAATGTTACTAAATGGAGGGGTACCTTGGAGCAGGGGGTGCAGAGAAAGCAGTTACTGAACACCTTCTTGTATCAGTCTTCAAGGACAAGACCAGTCCCTCAAGCATCTCTGACCCAAGAGATCCAAGAGAGGGAAAAGGAATGTTGGAAGGAAGATTTTTGCCTTGGTCAAGAACTAGGTTAGAGAACACATAAACAGATTTGACATCTGCAAGTCCATGGGCCCTGATGCAATGCAGTCATGAGCACTCAGAGAGCTTGTGAATGCCAAGGCAAGATTGTTCATGATCATCTTTCAAAGGATGTGGCAATCAGGAAGGATGTCCAAGGACAGGAAGAAAGCAAATGTTATCCAGGTGTTCAAAAAAGGCAAGGAAGATTTGGGGAAGTACCAGTGAATCAGCCTCAGCTCATTCCCTGGGAAGGTGATAGAGTAGCTCCTTTGGGAGGCCATCTCCTCCCACATGATGACAAGAAGGTGATCAGGAGTAGTAAGCATGGATTCACTAAAGGAACATCATGCTTCTCCAGCCTGATTGCCTGCTATGATGAAACAATTACCTGGCTGGATGAGGGAAGAGCAGTGTTCTTAAGAATTGTTTACCTAGACTACAGTGTAGCTTTCAACCCTGCCTCTCACAACATCCTCATTGGCAAAATCAGGAAGTGTGGACTGGATGAGTGGTCAGTGGATGGGGAACAAGCTGAACAGCAGATGCCAGATGATTGTAATCAGGGTCTCGTTGGAATTCTGCCATTCATGGTGTCCCACAAGGTTCAATAACTTCAGATGATGGGGCAAATCAACTCTTCTAGAGGTTCTTAAGCATTAAGAGGCACCCAATCATGTCATTACAGAAAACAATGACAGGTGTCACACAACAGAGACATGGGACGTCTTGTAATGGGATGTGCACATACAGAGTCAAATGCATTTTCTAACACATAATCAGATATGTTTTTGTTGCATGCATAGGAGCTCTCAGAATTTAATACACCTGAAAAATTTACCTTTTTCATGTGCTAGGAAAAATCTAGGGAGCCTCTGGGTAGGAGCATAGTGGGGACAGGACTAGAAGAACAAACCCTCTGGTCCTCAAACCAATTCCTGCCCACAGCTGAAGAACCACCAACAAACAGGATGGGAATGGGAATGTTCTGGCCTGTGTTGGTGTATTTTTGGCATCCTTGGATTAAAGTTTTTGAAACCTCAGGCTGCCCTTACAGTTTTGGAAAGCTGTAAATGCAGAATGAAATGTCCTAAATTAATATGCCTGCCTAAACTGTGAAGATTTTACTTTGGCTAAAGAGAGTTGATTTTTTCTCCCCTCACTTTTCAGGAAACAGAAGTCAATGTGCTCATTTACATACCACTGCTACTATGCAATTTGGCCCCATTCAGGTGATACCAGAAATCCTTTGTGTTGTTCCACCAAAACGTAGAGCTGTGGTGGAAAGAGAGTGACAGTAGTGCCTAAAGATGCTCACCAAGCCTGGGCTGCCAAGTGCTGGGTGCTGTCTAAGCATGCAGCTGGCAGTCTCTGCTGTCTGCAAGAAGTAACAACTGGTTGAGACAAACAATGACTAAAAATAGTCTAAGGAGAGAGCAGTAGCTAATGAGCATGTGCCTGGCTTTTTTAGACCACAACAAGAGCTGGTCCATGCCCTGCAGAGCTTATCATTATAGCAGACTAGAGAACAGACAGGCAGGGAATTGCAGGCAGACAAAGGGAGCAGTGTGTGTTCACAGCCTCGCAACAGGCATCACAACAGGCAGGGGAAGGAACTCTTATTGCTCCATTCTGTGTCATGCCTAATCCACAATCCACTACAGGAACCAGTCACACACACAGCACATCTGCACATCTGCTTTATTCCACTCACCTGAGCTGAGTGTGTGCAGTTAACTTCTACAGACACCTTTCACAGACTCTGCAAGTTAATCACAATACTAAGGGATTGGAAAGTATCTCAAAGCTATTATCAAAGAAGAAAGAAATAAAATTATATGAGACAAAATAACTGAATGAGATGTCTATTATTACAGCACATCTGCAGCAAGGAGAAGAAAGCAAAACCAAAGGCAGATTTAGGTTATTTCTTGACTTGGAAGTGCTGATTCTTGGAGTGTTAGTATTAAATCACTTTTGTGCTGGATTTTATAAAATAAAATAAAGGCTAAACCTAGCAAATGTTATCACCAAAGGCCAAATGAAGAACAGAAGATGTAGTTAATCCTGATTCTAATGGAAAATGAGCTTACAAGGCAAAATTTCATTAGGAAACACTTTGAGCTTGTCAATACTCACTTTTATACAGATTTAACTAAATTGACACAAACCCCAACACAGTTAAAATAGATGTAGCCCTTCAGCATAACTAAAGTCAGAGTACATTAAAAGTGTATCAGCATGACTTGGTTGGATAGAGAATTAACTAAAAATCAATTTCCATTTAGTTAAGTGGGTTCAGTAATAGAATGCCAACCAGACACAAGCAGTGATGAATTCTAACAACTGCTGTTATTTCTTCTCTAGATTCCAAGTCCCAGTTCCAGTACTATGACTGACGTGCTGTATAAATTAGTCTGCAAGTTTAATTCATAAAACCTTAGCGATATACATCTCAAGCTATGATATAATCACAATTAATGCAAGAACCTCTAGGCAACACTTATTAGGCAAGGCTTTGCTAGATTTTGACTTTCTCTTGCACCTCCATTTTCTAGTGAGTCTGGGCATAATGATGGAGGAATTCAGCTCCAAAAACCTCCCTATCCCTTTTTAAGGTCTAAAACGAAGACATGAGCGGAACTGTCACAGTGCAGTTTCCTCTCTGACATTTCTCATGCTCTCCCTCTTGTGGCAAAGAAAGTAATTTTTGTTTTTCCTTCAAAAAAGCAAAACGTCCAATTTATTCAATAAACAACGTTATTCATGAGCCAGCACACATTGCTGAGCCAACAGAGAAAAAAAACCCAAAGGCTGTTATGAAACAAAGCAGAGGCTCTCTCCTACATTGTTTTTTCATTTCTAATAGCGGCACTTGCATCAGACAAAGTGCTGATACCAGAAATCTGAGATCCTATCACACCATCTTTATAGCTGAGGTTTTTTAAACACTTCCTTTGATTCTCATATTTGGCCCATTGTGACTGTGCTGTAAACTCTACTCTCTATCATGTAAAACTCATTCTCATATAAGATTTCTTCTCTTTAGCAGGAGTGAGATTTGCTTTTATGGAAAAACAGCAGCAGACCAGTAAAGATGTTAGGAAGGGAGGAAAACAGAGGGACCAAAGGCCATTCTCTGCATACAGATGCACAGTACAAACATCAGTCCTGCTCACACTGTTGCCAAGCAATTCAAAATGAGGATTGAAGGCAAATCCAGCTTTAGTATCCATGAAGTCTCAGAGAATGGGGTATTAATAACCATGGCATGTCAACACCTGTAATAATGGTCTTTCATGACATACATTTCCAAAGAAAAATTAGTATGTCCTCTCAAAGGTTACATTATACCCACTCTGTTTCCAACCCTATTTTGTATTAGCTACATCCAATATCAACTCCCCTCAATTAGACACATTCATTATTCAAGCTAATCCAACATGCCCTTGAAAACTGGGATGAGGAAACAAGGGTATCACTGCAGGGACAGACATATCTTCAAACAACTGCAGCTTTAAACGGTCTACAGATAGTGGCATCAGGCCAAAGGACTGAAAATAAAACTTAGCCCCCAATGCCAGATATAGAGTAATCATAGTGTATCACATTTTTAGACTCAAGAACCAGTCAATGACATATTACTTCAAATTACAACCATTTTATTCTACTGTCCACAGTTTACAGGCTCCATGCTATGTGTGAACTTTTTCTCCTAACAAGTTATGTTTTAAGAGCCAATTTCCTTAAAATGTTTTTCAAATGAGTATCAAAATGACAGCAAGCAAGCTGACATAAGTAACCCAGTGAGGGCCGTTAGCTGAGTACAAAATTTTGATTACGCCATAAAGGCTTGCTGTAAGAATTAAAGAAAGTAGAAAATTTAAAATATTACAGGCATAACTGCTTTATGCTTTCCTTCATATATTAAATGTTTAGGCACTAAATATTAAAATTATTACTCTAGAAGTCTCCCCATGAGATTGGAATGTCATTACAGTAGCAGACCCTATAATCTGACACAGCATGTAAGAAAGCTTCAGTACAAGTGAATAGCATGAGAATCTTAGCAAATTGAATACTTTGAGGGTACTCTAAGGTCAGAAATGCCCAGGCAGTAATGGCACACATTGGGAAAGACTAGGTACTACTTAAGGGTAAGAACTGTCCTTAAGGATGTGGAAAACAAGCCCACCGTAATGCTAGGAAGAACCGTAGTGCTGCAGCTGCTGACTTCCCAACATAGTGAGCAAGCACCACAGAAATATTTGCATGTGTCTTGTCTAACATACATATAACCTAAGAGGCCACCAGTCTGTTAGAAATAATAATTGAAGCCTAGGAAGATTTTAAACCAGTGCAGGAGGGAACCTCAGTGGAAACAGGAATTTAACACCACAGGAACTATAATCAGCTCTTCCGTTAGATAAAGACCTGCTAATTTGCTGCTCTGAATTTACTAAATCTAGCCTTCAGCTGGGTTTTTTTTTGTTTTTTTTTTTTTTTTTATCTTTGATTAGTTTAACCACCTTGATCTAGAGCTTCTAGTCAGTTTGGATACAGAGGTGAAAAGTTCATTCCTATATACAACATACTTCTCCTTTCCCATGTGTCTTTTCTTCAGCACCTCTTTTTGGTCTAACTTGGGCTAGAAGCCTTAACTCCTGAGAAGAGTTTATGAAGTATTTTAGAGTCTGAAGAAAGGTTCCTCTATTTTTGTCCAGCATTTAAAGATTTTTATTAATTCACACAGTCATTTTGTATTTACTTTATAAACTGCATGTTTCCATGGCATCTGTGCTGCAAATAATAGGGCTATGAATAATATCTAGGGTCCTTAAGTAATGCTACATCTACCTTCTCCAAAAGTCCTTCTGATGAAGGTTCACTGGATTTAAAGCAAACCTGGAAAGTAGTTCTTTATAAATGGTGCACAGTGTGCTGGTCTGATCTACCCACAAGCCCACAGCAGGAGAATGCACAGCCATTGACAAGTATTGCTAAGAAGGTTTGCCTGCTATAGCAGTTCCAAACAGAGCTTCAACTTGTATTTCAAAAGTTAATGCTTTCAATAAATTCCTTTCAACCCAATTTGATAACACTGTGATAGACTTTAACTGCTTGAACTTTTTCTAGGCAATCACAAAAACTAGGGATTCAGCACCTAAGTTTCACCTCCTCACCATGGATGCTAACATAAACAAAATAGAAAAATCACTGTCAAAATCAGTAACCTCATCCCTCTGATTATGAAGCACTACCAGTCCTGAACAATTAATTGTCACACTAGCTACTTGCATGTACACAATTCAGCCAGTTCATTAGGATAACATCACT